TTCGCTTTAGGAATTCCCTCTGATCGTTCATGTTGCAGAGTCAAGGTCAGGAATGGGGCAGAGAGCCCTGGGAGGAGGAGGTGTTGGCGCCCAGGTGGATGAGCTGGTACGTGGCTGGGCTGTCCAGGCTCCATTAGCAATGGAGGCTGATATTGCTGTGTGGTGTTTGGAGTAAATGATGAAAGTCACAAACAGGACTAGAACTTGCCCTACAAGTCCACCTCATGACCACCCCCAGGGTTCTGTACTCCTTGGATCGGAGGTGGGAGCTGGGGTCCTTCCCATCCTGGTCTCAGTCTGCCCTGAGGGGGCCTCCCCCACACCCTGAGTGTCCTGGGCCTCGTGTGTGTCCCAGTCCTCCCTGCAGACCCGGGGGGGCACACACTGAAGGCAAAATTTAGTTAGCACAAAATAATCCCAGCTCTCCACTCACCAGGGGTGTGTGGTGGACAAGCTTTGGCCTGGCCCAACCCATTAGTGCCTGACCAGGTGGCTTTATGGGCACCCCTGGTCTCAGGAAGCTTTTGTTAAGTAGAGACTGTGGGTGGGCTTTTGTGCTCCCCTCCAAACAAGTTAAGATTCATACCACCTTCTAAATCTACCCTGTGTTGGAGAACACAGGCCACTGGCCAGTGAAAGATGCCTATGGACCGGGAACCTTACCTGCTCCGCCATCTAGTAGTGAGAAGTGAAAATACACCCTCCCCTGTGCGCACCTTCACGACTTCCATCATGGAAAGCCGTATTGATTTAGTTGTGTTTGGGTTCCCCGAGGCTCTCAGTCAGGAGGATGAGGAGTCTTCCTGTAGAATGAGGAAGCTAGAAGACCCAAGGATACTTTCCTTTTTTTATTTTTTATTTTTTGCCTTTCAAGATTGAGGGGAGCTTTGTCCATCTTGGTCTGGACACAGGGACAGGAGGAGAGGTGGCCTGGAGCCCCTTTTCTCGTCCTTTGGGAAAAACCTGGGAGAGAATTTCCCTTGTGCTGGAGACCGCGTTCACGCTGAGACCGGCAAGCGGCTGCACTTGGCAGCCATGCTGGAAGAAGACCGCGTGTCGGTGAAGATCCAGCATGAGGCGCCCCATTGCAGCAGTTCTTACAGATCTCACCTGAGATCCAGCTGCCCCAGCCACACAGTGCCTGGAGTCGCCGTCCCAGTGCTCTGGGATGGTCTCCAGTGCTTGGGCCTCTAGGACCCTGCTTTGAGTGTCGGTGGCCCCAGCTTGCACGTGCTTGTCTGTCCCTCTGTCCTGGCTTCTGAGGAGTCCATCACTTCCCTTTCAGTGGCCGGCTGGGAAGGAGGGCTAACCTGGTGGGAGCTGTGGGTGGGTTTTACGGCCCCTGTGAGCTGCACAGGGGTTTCTGGAGGCTGAAACAAAGAATCTGAGTGAAAGTCTAACGCGCGCTAGAGGACGTCACGCGTGGGACATTTATCTGTCTCTGTTCCCTGTGGCTGTCTCTTCCATCCCTTACCGCCCCATTTATTGGGTTAGCCCAAGAAACGGGGGCACACACACTGCCATATGCTGCCCAGCAGGGAACTCAGAATAGCTACGCTCTCAGCACCTGTAAGGCAGAGACACAGCTTGGCCTCCGCTCACAAGATCAAGTCACCCTGTAGGTTTGGAGTCACTTCTAGAAGCCACACTGGGGCAGCAGAGTGTGCAGGTTACCGTGGTTCCACTCCTCTGAGAGTGGATGGGCCTCGGGGACTGAGGACAGGATGGCAGTGTTTGCCCAAGGTTCTCGAGTCAGGACCCACAGGGCATGGAACAGGCAGAGGTGAGCTGCAGGCCAGACCTGACAGCGCTCCTTCACCAAAACAAGTGTCCCTGGATCCCACGAGGGGATTGAAGCCAAAAGCATGGTTTCTGCCTTTCTCCGTCACGGGTGAAGCAGGCATGGGCTGCTACAGAGGTCTTCTCTGTGTGGCTGTGTCACAAAGAAGAGGTGGAAAGCACGTCCATCTGCTCCGTGAGCTGCTCACCATGGAAGGTGGTCACTGCAGCACACAGTGACTGCCACTAGTGTTTCTGTGTGACACAGGTGTAGGCAGGACTGCCAGATCCCAAAGGAAGATGGAGGGCTGACCCTCAGGGGTCAGAAGATTGGAGAGGGGTGGGATTTCTCCAGCAGGCCAGGGGCACCCAGTCTTATGGGCCGATCCACCCCAACACAGGACATTTCAACCATGTCAACCAGGGGACCCCCCCACCATGACTCCCCAGTGAGCACCTCTGTCAGAACAGAGCCTTGTCCTTCTTTGCACCAACTCCACGGCCAATAAACAAGAGGACTTCCCAGCCAGATCCCTGCCCTCCTCTGCCTGTGCGGCACTCAGTTAAACCCATTGAGATTTGGGGTTGGAGGAAACCAGAGTGAGGTGCGGATTACTGACCTGAGACATGGCTTCCTCCCCTCCGTGCTCTGGCTTCTCGCAACCTCATTTGTGATGCCTGAAATAAAACCCATACAGAAGAGCACGTCACACACAGGTCAGAAGACTGTCCTAACTGGAGTGTAACAGACCCTGAAGACATGATGTGGTTCAGGGCATGAGTGAGACCGGTAAGACCCAAAGATCCCACTCCCATTCCCCGAGTTCCTGAGAGCAACTCCCACCCACACCGGCTAGGCAACTGGTGCTAATGGGACAAGCAGTCACAAAGCATCACTTGTGCAAAGGGTGTGCAAACACACCAAGTTATACGACAGTTGCCATCTTGGAAAAGTCAGGGCATGTTAAAACATACCCCTCCTCCTCCAGCCCCTCTGGGTTCCATGTAAAATGCACTTCAGTCCTAAGCTCAGATGTTTGCTAACAGGATTGTCTCCTATATAAATGCTCAACAGATAACTCCCAGGTCATAAGGACCCAAGAATAATCTTCACTAGGGAAAATATTTTGTGCACAGGTAGCGTTTGATGTAGGTAGGTAGCATCCCTACCTTGTGGGAACTAAGAATACTACTGCAGTGCTACACAGTGCACGCAGGGGTGGTGTCGCTCCTGCTGAGAAAGACTGGTCCCAAAGTAGAACTCGAACCCAGGGCTAGGATAATTGGGATCTTCCGGGGAGTGGTGTGAGTTTGCAAACCACACAGTTATCAATGGAGAAAGTTACAGTAGCTTAGCTGGAAGAGACCAACAGAAAGTGAGTGCTCCTCAGGATTTAGAACTGGGGGAAATGGCCCAGCCAGGTATGAGATCTCTGAGGTGCCGTCTCTGCCCTCTCTGCAAGGACAGGGCTCTAATTGTTCTACAGTTTGCATAATTCCCCCACGGCCATGGAGAGCTATGCGTGCCCTCAGTCTGCTAAGGAGAGGAAGATTGCATGATGGGTTTTGTGGGATGCATAGAAGTCAGGCTGGAGTAGAGGGGTCCTCTTTAACTGGGAGGAAGGAAAAGACCTCAGGCTGTGTGCAACAGCTCCAAATAGGACAGGCGGCGGTGGAAATGAGGCAGGGGTACATGGAGAGGATGGAGCAGGGTGGCAGGAAGGAAGCCCCCTGCATAGACTCTGAGTTGGGCCTCAGTACCTGGACAACACCATCCCATCAAAAGCACCTGTGATACACTTGACCTTGTGTTGTGTAAGTGTCTGTACCTCCCCAGGGCTCTAGATCTGGGCTGTGTCTGGATCTTCTGGCTCTCTGGACTGGGCTTAGCACATGGGACAGCCTTGTGTTGCAGATGAGCGAGTGAGTGAGTGAATCTGGGAATGACCCCGTGTTGGGGAGGCTCCTGCCCTTCCCTATAGGTCCACAGAAGGAGAAAGAGAAAGGTACTGTGTCCCCAGCCCCTCCACAGCAACGGGATTCTGCTGCCTTAAACCAGTTCCTGCCTGTAGCCTGCAGCACAGTTGCCATTCTGCTTCCCACAGCTCCTAGCACTGCTCAGCGACCCGGCGCTGCTCTTGTTCTTGTTCCCCTGGATGCTGGGAGCAGTGCAAGAAGCTGGAGGTGGGAGGGAGGGTGGCACAGTGATCTCCTGTGACAAATTCGCAGAGCCCCCAGTGTGGGAGGTGGCACCGAAAGACTCGGTGGAGATCTGACCCCTAACTCACGTCATGCTCACCAGGTGCCTGAGAGCCACACGTGTCACTCAGCCCACTCGGGGCTCTGGCTGTGGAGTTGTGGCCCTACGGGTTGGAGGGGTCTTGAGTGGTTGTTCCTGCCCTCTCCAGGGAACACCATGTCGCTCCCACTTGTTAGCAGTAGGGGGCAGTAGTTAGCAAAAAGGGCTCACAATCAGAACATTTTCATCCTGTAGTTTCAGCATTTATTTTAACCCTGCTGTATACAAACCCCATCCTAACATCATCCTCCCCACAAAAACCATTCATCCTCCTCACGAAAACTGCCACCAAGGTACAGGAATGACAGCCACCTAGCAAATACTGCCTGCCTTCCTTGGTAAGCAGAAGAGCCCAAGGCCACTAACCAGGTCCACTCCTGTCAGATGGTTGCCCTGGACACAGGGACACGGGCAAACACATTCTGGGGGATCCCGAGGTTCTTGTGAGACTTGAAATCATGATTCCTATGAAGTACTCACCATGTTGACCTGGGTGACGTCATCCCCTTGCAGTCCCCAAGCTTTATATCTTTATAGTCAGACTAAAATCTCTATAAAAATCACCGTGCACTCAACCTAAAATGACGACATGTACCAGAGTGGTGCACTTCTGCGTGGCTCGGGGTTCTGGAGGGGAAGGCACCCGCTTTGTTAAAAAGACGGTCATGTGCAAAACACAGGGAACACAGACTAGACGGTGATGCGCCCAGAGGTTAGGAACATCTGAGGCTGAGGGGACAAGAGGCAGGAGTCCAAGTGTTGTGAGAACCTGGCACCGTGGGGGAGAAGTCACAGAGATGTGGCCAGAGTCAGAGAGAGGACAGGCCTGGCCTTGGTGTCCTCTTAACCCTCTCCCGCTCCTCCCCTTGGCTGCCCCTCTCCAGAAGTCAGTCAGTAAGCAGGCCTCAGAAATGCAGTCTGTATGGTCAGCCTCAGCTCAGGGCAGAGACCAGAGAGTCCCGGGGAAGTGGAAGGGAGAGCAGGCCCACGCTGCCCTCCACGAGGCCTCACGTCTGTCCTTCCTTCCTGGCCCACAGTGTCCGTGAGTATCAACCAACCTGTACCCTGGCTGCGAGAACGTGAGTGTGAAAAGTCACAGCATGGTGTTTGAGCCAGGCCTCACCAAGGGGATGCTGGAGGTGTTCGTGGCCCCGTCCTACCACCTGCACTGCTCAGCCGATGACCAGTCCACCAAGGCCATCGACATCCAAAACACCTACTTGAATTGTACGTGCCACCGCCAGCCCACCCCCCCAAGGCAGGGACCTCTGATTGCCCTCTGACACGGCTGCTCCAAAGGGAGCTTGTCCCAGAGAGTACCTGTCACACCCAAAGAAAGTCCTGTGCCAACCGGGAGTGACCCCGATCTGAAGCATGGCGGGCTGACACCCCTGAGCATAAGCAAAGTTTTCAGTGTGTCTGTTTTCAAGGCAGGATGCTGCCTAGCCTGGGCTGACTCTGAACTCACCACATAGCCTAGGCTGCCCTCCAACTTGTGAACCTCCTGCCTCAGCCCTCGTGGCACTGGGTGGGATTAAAGGCCGGTGCGGTCATGCCTGGCTAAGTGTGTTCTTCCCTTTCAAGCATTCCCAAGTGAAGAGATTTCCAAGGGAAATCTGTTGTTTTTATTACTATAACAAAATGCCTTTGACTGGGTGCTTTATAAAGAAAAGAGCTTTATTTAGCTCATGGTCTCAGAGGGTGAGCAGTCAAGGTTGGGAAGCCCCATCCATTCAGTCTCTGTGTTGACAGAGGGAGCGTGTTATCACATGGAAGATGGGGCAGGAAGGAACCAGCCTTGATTTTTTTTTTTTTAATAGCAGTTCACCCCCATGAGAACTTACTTGTTCTAAGAGACCAGCAGAATCCCTTCTCAGGGCGGGACCCAGTGACCCAGCCACCTTCCTCTGGGCCCCACCTCTACCTCTAAACACCACCACAGTGTGGAGCAAGCCACCAGTGTGTGTGACCTTTTGGGGGACAGCCACATCCAGGTACTGTCCCTGGTCCCTGAGTTTCCTGTTCTCACAGCGTGAGCTGTTACTGCTTCATCTCTGCTGGTCCCAAAGCCTTAAGCACACTTTCCCAACATCATTCAGAGCCCAAGTCCAAAGTCACATCTCAAGCTTAAGACAACCTCCTTCCAGCTGTGAACTGACAAAAAAAATAAAAAAGGTGGCCAACACTGTGATCCCAGCTACTCAAGAGGGTCACGGTTCGAAGCCAGCCCAGGCAAATAGTTCAAGAGACCCTATCTCGAAAATCCCTTCACAAAAAAAGGGCTGGGGGAGTGAGTGGCTCAAGGTGAAAGCCCTGAGTTCAAGCCCTAGTACCGCGAAGAAAAAAAATTCAGCTACTTGCCCAAGATGTAGCAAGTGGAGCAGGGATAAGGTAAAGATTCCTCTTTCCATAAAAAGTCATCATGGGACATAGAAAGGGTAGATGGCCCAAAGCAGAAGTGAAACCAGCAGGGCAGACATTTAATCTCACAGCTGTAAGCCCAGCGTCCATGTGACTGGGCTCAGGCTGTCCCCAGCTGACACTGCGTGATGTCGGTGGCTTGGCCTTCCTTTGGTCCCAGCTGTGGGTCCACTCCTGTGACCCCACTAGACATTCTACAGAAGACCTCTTGAGTGCTCCATCCCAGAGGCGTCACCATCTTTGCTGTGAAGTGTTGGTGGAAGCCACCATGACCCCATGTTGTCGGCTCTACATTTCTGCAGTGCACACCACATGGCAGGAGCCTCACATGGGCCCCACGGAACCGTGAAAAGCAGAGATCAGAACCCTGAGGTGGCTGGGCAGTGAGCCACGGTGAGGGCCTGGGCCCCATTCCTTGGAACCATTCTACCCCTTTAGCCCCCTGGGCCTGCGATGGGAGGGGCAGCCTCAAAGATTGAGGTACACTTGTGGTCTTTTCCTGATTTTCCTGGCCGTTGACAGCCATGCTAGTCTTGCTGGCACAAACCACTTTTTTTTTTTTATTAGCCCTTTTCACAGGCAGTGTGACTTTTCCAGATCGCTCTGCTGCTCCCTTTTGCTCCCAAGGCTGACTGTCAACTCATTGAAAGTGGCCAGTGATCCATGGCATGAATGCTTTGCCTGTTTGGAGATTTCCACTGCTGAATGTCCTAGGTCCTTTTAAATTTTGCCTACCACACAGCTCCAGGGCTCGGCCACAGGTCCGCCATGTTTTTTGTTTTGTTTTGTTTTTGCTACTTCATAACAAGGATGGCTTTTGTCCAGTCTCCAATCAGAGCCAGCTCTTCTCCTGAGCCCTCTCACCTGTAACTCTCCACTTACAGAATTCTAGGCTTTTTCTAGCCTGCTTCTCAAAGCTCTTCCAGCTCCAGCCTCTGCCATTACCCGGTTTCAAAGCTGCTTCTACATTTTCAGATACCGTGACAGCAATGACCCCACTCCTTGGTACCAATTTCCTATGTTACCTTGTTTTCCAAGCCTCTATCCAAATACTCAGGGCTGCCTACTTTATAAAGTAAAGAGGTTTTGAAGGTGAAAGTCCATGATCAGGTGGCCCCATCAGTTTGACCTCTGGTGAGGGCCCCCCCGGCAGTGTTACAACATGGTGGCCGGCATCACAGCAGGAGTGCTGGTCAAAGGGGAAAAAAAAATGGGGAGGAATGAAGCCAGAGACTGGGGTGGGCCCAGGCTTTCTCTTTTAAAACAGCCCGCACTCACAGAAAGTAACTTCACCCAAGGAGAGCAGCATTATTCCCTTCCCAGGGCAGTGTCCCAGTGTCCTCACACCCTCCACGGTGCCCACCTCTCAGTATTCAGTGTTTATCTACTGATATTGTGGTCATTAAATACTAGTCCAGACTGCTGCCCCACCCTCCCACCCTCTTGCAGTGGCTCAGATGTCATTAAGTCCAGGGTTCCCCAGGGTGCTTGTCTGGGGACCTTGCTTTGAGAACCACTAGAACCTTCCGTGTGCATTCGCTCCCTTAACAGTTAGTGTTCCCCAGGACAGACCGAGGGGAGGCTTGTCCTTGGGCTCCACTGCCGTGCCCTCACCCCAACTCAGACGCCCAACCCTCAGAAGGCCTCTTTCTGTATCCTAGAATTTTCCATGCTAGGCCTGAGCTGCTGTCACCCCTGTGCCCCCAGGGGAGGTTATAAAGGCCTTCGATACCCCAGGCCAACTCTTGGCTGCAAGACGTCTGGCTCAGAAGCCCCGAGTGGGGAATACGGGGGTGTTCGAGATTCTAAATGGTCACTGGGAGGCCCCAGGAGCCTTAGGAATGATCTGGTCAGATCTCACCAGTGACATTTCATAGTGACTTCCACATGGACCTTTTTATACTTGACCTGTTCCAATTACAATTTATACCGATTTCAGGACGTGGCACTTTGTTCTCCTATGTTCTCTTATTTAAATGTCCCCTGGCTTTGGGACAAAAAGGACAGCTGGTTCCCTGAGTCCCTCATGGTCAGGAGAGAGCCCTGTAAGTAAAGGTGGGATGTGTCCACAGCTGGGCTCTGATGATGTAGTCACTCCCCATCACACGCTCGTGGATTCTGAAGGGAAGATCGCCACTTTTCGGATCCGAGGTACCTGTGCACACGCAGACACCCCATGCACACACGTGGACCTCTCCAGGGTGTTTTGAGTAGATCTGACACAGACATGGCAAAAGAGAACACGATGAAGGCTTTCGAGGAGGCAGAGGACCCCACAGGCCAGGATCTTGGTAGTCAGTGCCTAAGTAGGTGAAGCCGGTGTGCACTTAACACCGATGGATGCCACGGGCTGCTGCTGACCCTACACGCAGTCCCTGCAGTGCCAGGAGGCCCTGTGGTGGTGGTTCACGACAGTAACCATTGCTCCTCTTTCTCCATAGGGGTTGGCAACTTCAGCGTGTGGGAGTTCTCTGGAAATCCCGTGTACTTCTGCTGCTATGACTACTTCGCTGCAAATGATCCCATGTCCATCCACATCATCTTGTTCAGTCTAGAAGAACCCTATGAGATCCAGCTGAACAAAGTGATTTTCTGGCTCAGTTTCCTTAAGCCTCTCATCCCAATTGAAGAGCACGTAGGTGAGCAGAGCCCCCGGTCAGTGTCTGTCCTTTGTCCCTTGCTCTCTTCTTGCCACTGCCCTGACCTCCCACCCATGTGGCCACACCAGACCCCACGCTGTGGCCTCCTCCCTTTCTCCATCCCACTAAGAGATGTCCACGCCGGGAAGCTACCTGGGGCTCCCCCAGGCATTGTGTCCTGGGGGGCATTTTGTGTCCTGACCTATGCTCCTGCCCCAAAGGCCGGATCCTGAGCTACTCCTTGAGCCGTTTCTCACCTCCTTCTGCTCCTTACAGCCGCGCTCATCTTGCCGGTGCAGGTGGAGCCTCCTTCCATGGCTCCCACTCCTCACCTGCGAGGGCCCGGGGTTCCTCACAGAAGGTGCTTGCTGCCTTCTGCAGATGCATTGACCCTGGGGAAGAGGACTGGTGGCCTGACTGTGCCATCTTGCCTTTGTTCCTTGAGGGGAGGATGACATGGAAAGAGCCTTTCTCCCACGCACAGCAGGAACCTTGCCCAGCAAGTGCAGGACTCAGCAGTTGGTGTCTTTGCAGAAAGCACACAGCAGTAGATATGCTGGGCTCCATCTCTCCAGAGGCTGCCATTTTTGTCACCTTCTTCCCCCTTCATCTTGTTGAGCTCCCATCAGCGAGGCCCTGCTGTGCGCTGCAGGCCTTTCTCTCTGAGCTGTCCCTGGTGTGTGGCTCATTCATGGGGTTTCCTCCATCCTGTGAAGGGCCCCCCTTGTCGGGCTTGGAGCCCCCCTCACACAGCAGGAGCATTTGGGGGAAGCCCTGAGAGCTGCCTTGTGGGGTGGGGTCGGTCCTGGTCCCCTGTTCAGAATGCTCATTGAGGCCCAGCTTTGGGCTTGTCCTGGGGCCTTCTAGGGACACACTGCACAGCAGACACTGGGTTCTTGAGCAGGCTGCACATCACCTGGATAGACAGCCCTGGGATGAAGTCATGGTGTCCCCTCACCTGGGCAGGACAGCCAGCCAGGTAGGGTGACCCGTGTCCTGACACAGTTGCCTCTCTGTCCTCCAGCCTTTGGCGGCAAGCTGAAGAACCCACTCCGAGTTGTCCTAGTGGCCACCCATGCTGACATTATGAATGTCCCCCATCCAGCTGGAGGGAAGTTTGGCTATGACAAGGACATGTCTCTGCTGAAGGAGATCAGGAACAGGTGGGTGGCGGCCCCTGGCCCTTTGTCTGGGGTGGGGAGGGGTGGGGTGAGGATACCCTTAAGAACAACAGGTCCTTCTTCCTTGGTTGATTTTGTTCTGTGGCTTTCATTCCTATCCACATGGTGAGCACGCATGTAACAAATCCCACAGAGACCAAGAGCTCGGGGCTCACACCAGCACCCCCTCGCTTCTTTCTCTGCTCACCTCTCAGTGCCTCTCCCAGAGGTGACTTCTGTGAGTCCTGCAGCTGTCGTTCTTGTCATACTCATCACCATAGCACATGCCAGCATTTCTCTACACGGGAGCTGCAAACCACATGAAATTACTCAGGGGGAGGTGACCAGCACTTTCTGTATTGGGACAGGATGGGACGTCGTGGACAGAATTGAACATATCAGATCAGAGTGTATTTCATCTCAAATGTTAGGGTGTCACTGTTGTTTCACTTATAAAACCCAGGGTGAGGTAGCACATAAATTAGTCTGAGTCAGTATGGGTCATTTCCACTGCTATCACAATATACGTGAGGCTGGGTAACTTACAGAGAAAAGGACTTATTTTACTCTTAATTTTGGATTAGAAAGTCCACATAGCATGTCACCCACCCACTCTGGTGATGGTCCCCTTGCCGTGTCACACATGACACAGCAGCACCTGAGAACGATAGACAGCATGGTGGACCAGGAAACCAGAGAGAGAGATTCCTTGTGTAGGAAGTAGTTGTTATCCCAAAAAGCCACTTTGGAGGGCAGCCCCCCAGCGACCCTCACCAGCTTCAGTAAGGCCCACCTCTTAAGGCTCCTCCACCACTGTGCATGTCGCCACCCTGGGGACAGAGCCTCTCTCACATGAGCGCTTAGGGGACCATAGCGACTGCATCAAAATAGTTGGAGCAAGCATCTCCAGGTAATATGCGAGTGGCACAGGTTTGAACCCTCAGCCTGAGATGCACGTATGCTGTCTTCCCAGTGTGGACCGGGATCGTCTGGGAATGTTCTCAGGTCAGTGGTGTGACTTGTGGATTCTGCTTACACTCAGTCACAGTGTCTCCTGTCCTCACTGGGACGTGAGCACCTGGGCCTCGTGTTTCCCACCCTAGGCATAGCGGATGGCTTTCCACGCCGTGTTCCTGCAGCTGTGTGGAAACAGACCCTCCCATGTGCACCACTGGCCGTGCACCCCGATTTCCCCACACCTCTGCACCAGAGGGACCCAGCGGCGTTCCCAGGACAGAGGAGCCTCCGCATGGTCACTGGGACTCGTTGCCTCCCACCTCTGCACAGGAAGACCTGGTGACAGCTCACGGAGCCCCGCTCTTGCCCTAGGTTCGGGAACGATCTTCACATCTCAAATAAGCTGTTCGTGCTGGATGCCGGTGCTTCTGGCTCTAAGGACATTAAGGGTCTTCAGAGTCACCTGCAAGAAATTCTGAGTCAGATTGTCTCGGTGAGCACAGCCTGCAGGCCTGGCCCCAACCTTGGCTGCTGCCAGCCGTGCCCAGGGAGCAGGCTTCTGCTCTGCCCGCTTGGTTGCTCTGGTTTTGGAGACATGGCCTCACAGTAGGACCAGGACTGGGGACCACATGGATGTGCTGTTGTCCAGTTGCTCTGGGGCGAGGCAGGAAGAGGGAGAGCTAGGACATGGAGGAGAAGTATGACGGATGAGGTGGAACAGATCGGAGGCTGATCTGAACTGAAATTTTTACAGTTCATGGATTGAATATAAAATTTGCTTCTCCAAATTGCAAAAGCAATTCCAATGCGCTTCACTGGTGTTGAGACAACTCCAAAGGAGAGAGACGTCATTAACTGAAGGAGCTGAAGGTTGGAAGCATAGCAGAGGGTGAATGTCATGCAAGTACGTCACGTGCAAAAATGGAAACAGCACAGTGAAACCCCCTGTTCAATTAGTATATGCTAATTAAAAGATAACTGATGACAGCAGGAGATGAGGCCACATTAATGCTTCATTTTCCCAAGCTGCATAAATTTAATACAATTCAGTGGCCATCTGAATGGGATAGGGAAGTTTTTATCTGTTTGGATATATTCATTGTACAGGAGGGATTCATTGTGACAATTCCAAGTAGGCTTACATTGTGTGTTGGTTAGATCAGCCCCAACTTAAACCTTTTAAATGTACAAACAGCAACAGATATCTTCAGTGGGAATTCAGAGAATGTTTTTAAATAACTTGGGATTGAGGAAATCTTAAAACAGTGTGCAACACAGAGAGAGAGAGAGAGAGAGAGAGAGAGAGAGAGGAGGGGGAAAAGGAGAAAGAAGAAAACCCTATTACACTTACTTGATTTAAATTTTTTTTTCTAGCAAAAGATTATAAAGTTAAAAGGTGAAATAGATTGGGCAAAATGTATGCTTGTACTTGACAGATGAACGATCCTTTATTCTTCATATGCAAAGAGCTCTAGTTCCCAAATTGATAAGAAACAGAAAAGCATGCTAAGTGGAAAATTGCTGGAACTGCTCTGGGGAGCATGGCAGTGCCCACACCTGAGTCTGGCCTCAGGTCAGAGGTCCTCTCCCTCTCCTGCCCAGCCGGGACCCCTGTGTGTGTCTCCCCTGCCAGCCCCCTTCCAACACTGGGGTGGTCCGGGCCAGAATTCGGGAGACCCTGAAGTGCAGCCCTTGCCCCTCAGCTTGGCCTGGCTCTCCTGCCTGGCCCACCATGGTACAGTCAGCACTGGGAATGGTTTGGCCCTGGGGACAGAGACTGGCGGTTGTGGCTGGGGAAGAAACAGCAGCCTGGGAAGAGTCCAGGGCGTCCGTGGAGACATTGGGGCTGCAGCGTCCCATGTGCTTTGAGAAATACCTGCCCTGGCCCCACATTCTGAGGTCAAGCAGGTGCAGCCCCCAAACAACCTCCCTGAGAACACTGGGGTTTTGATTAGGGATAGAATTTAGGTGACAGGATTTGAGAGGGGTGCGTAAATCAGAGCAGTGTAGATGTGGCCTGTGTGGTTTCTGATACGACAGTGTGGACCTTATGAGTCTGAAACACAGGCTGGCACATTTAACCACCTTAAGAAGGTTAAAAACCACTTTCAAGCCAGTTACCAAGAACTGGTCTAATAATGTTTAACAGCAGTCCTCACGAATACCTAATTTTTGGGTTAAAATCCACAGTAATGATAACAATGCTTGATCTCTCGTCCTCTCTCTGTGTCCTAAAGAATCCATTGCTGGACTGAAACAGTCACAGTGAGGGAGTGATGAGAGAGAGAGAGAGAGAGAGAGAGAGAGAGAGAGAGAGAGAGAAAGTAACTGACAGAGAAAAGGGGGAGAGAGAGGGAGTAACAGAGACAGAGAGAGGGAGTAACTGAGATGGAGAAAGAGAGAAAGAGAGGAGGGAGAGAGAAAGTAACAGAGAAAAGGGGGAGGGAGAGGGAGTAACAGAGAGGGAGAGAGCAGAAGAAAGGGAGTAACTGAGAGAGAGAGAGAGAGGAGGGAGAGAGAAAGTAACTGTGACAGAGAGAGAAAAGGGGGAGGGGAGGGAGTAACTGAGACAGAGAAAGAGGGAAGGAAGAGGGAGAGAGGGAGTCACAGAGAGAGAGAAGGGGGAGGAAGAGGGAGGAACTGAGACAGAGAGAAAGGGAGGGAGGGAGAGGTGTTGGGACTTAGACCACATTAGTTGGTGGGTTGAATCACAGTTCTGAAAACCTTATTGCGAACACTCACCCTGTTTCCCACGACCAGTGGCTCTGAGAGGCCCCGACAAAGCTGCGTGTTAGATAACCACGCTCTTCCCAAGGCAGCTCTGAAACACAACCGTCCCTGTTCTCAACAGGGGAACTCACTCCCTGAGGGCATGAGTGGCACTGTCACCCCTGGACTCCCCCCCATCCCCACAGCCCGTGGGCTGCTGACCCATGTCCCTCCCCGCGCTCTAGGGCTGCCCTCCCATGACACACCTGTGTGAGAAGATCATCTCCATGCTGCCGTCCTGGAGGAAGCTCAACGGGCCCAACCAGCTCATGTCGCTGCAGCAGCTTGTGTGTGACGTCCAGGACCAGTTGAACCCCCTGGCCAGCGAGGAGGATCTCAGGCGGGTTGTGCAGCAGCTGCACAGCGCCAGCGAGGTAGGGGCTTCCTGAAGCCAGCAGGGCTGCGAGGGGATCGCGACTCATCTCTGTCCCAGGTCCAGCTGCTGGAGGGGGCCGAGTCCAGGCTGTGGAGCAGGCTCAGATGCAAGGCTGCTGCAGCTCCAGTGCCTCTCAGGTCCCCTTTTTCTGCAGCTGTTCATTTTGCTAGCTAGGCACAGGGTCCCTGGCTTGGGTGACAGGGCGTCCACCCCCCCTTGGCCACCTGATCCTTCCCTCATCAGTCTTCAGCCTGGCTGCCCGCCATGAGTGGGACAGGTCCAGCTCCAGACAGGCTTCTGGGATGACCAACAACTGAGCCTCACGGAGATGATGGCTGTAGGCACAAAGACAAGACATGGTGCGTGGCTGTACAGAAGGGTCACCTGCAAGGTGCACAGCAAGAAGTACCCCCAGCAATGGCAGGAAATGGGGATCTTTTCCCTTGGTTGTGTGACATTTAGCATGGGGGTATGGTTCAGAAACCCCATTCATTCTAACTGCACCATGTGCCCTCGTGCTCCTCCCCCTGGTGAAATTGGGATGCGGTGTCAGCTGGTCTGAGTTGAGAACAAAGGTGGTGGATTAACAACTAGAAATGGTTCTGAGGACATTAAAAACCAGAACTCAGAAGCCATGTCACAGCCGTATTTCAATGAATTGTGTATTTTGGGGGCTAAGTACTGAATCCAGAAGCCAACCACCCTGCTGGCCCTTAAGCAGGTGGCTGGCACTGTTGGTCTTTAAATGCCCAGAAAACTCCTGGTGGTCAGCCGACCCCCCCAGCAGTATTTTAAAGGAAGGGTCAGGGTCCAGGCTGAGATTGTGAGCTTACATGGCTGGCCAGAAAAGTGTGTTCACCATTGCAACGCACTCGGTCCGGGATCCCACCAGGGACAGGGGACCAGACTTTGTCTCCCTCGACTCTGACTCTGAGGAGATGAGCATTCCTTCAAAGTAGGCTGTACCTTGCCTGCGTTTTCAGGCTGAGGCTCAGCTATGAGCAGAGCCACCTAGAGACAGAATTTGGGAAAGGCCTGGCTAAGGGGCAGCAGTCCTCTGGCCACAGGTAGAGGCCAAGCCCGCTGTGAGGAAGGAGCCCAGGCTCGCCATTATCCCTAGAACTAGCCCTGAGAACCGGGGAGCAGTGGAAGAGGAGCTGTTCCCCAAAGAGAAAAGTCCCATGGTTTTCTTTCCAACTTTTGCTTTTTAAAGAAATAAGCACTGGCTGCCGGAGTGGCTCAAGTGGTAGAGTGCTGCCTAGGTTAAAAAAAGCGTGAGGCCCTGAGTTCAAACCCCAGTCCCGACAAAAAAAAAAAAAAAGCTGAAATCCCTCTGGTTTCATTCCTATCCCCTCACCACGGGGACTGTCATCATGGTGACATATCTTTCCGACTTCTTTTTTTAAAAAGTGAGTGTGTTTACATTTTACCTAATGGATGTCAGTGCAACATCAGTGAGAAACGTCCAGCCTCAGGGACGGTGTAAGAACACAGCCCTCACCTGCTCACCGCCAAAGCTGACCCACCGCTTACCTTTTGCTGCTTCTCCTTCCTTCCTTTCCCCTTCATTTCCTTCCTTAAAGGTCCTCACACTTCACCCCTAAATAATTCAGCCTGTGTCTCCAGAGAGGTACGTCCGCCCCATAAAATGCTGGCATATTCCAGAAGCACCACGACTGAATATGGGGTCATCACATGGGGGGTTCCACTTGTCCTCGCAAAGGTCTCTGAAGACTGCGTCCATTCGGGTGCGTTTTCATTGTGGGATCAGAGATCCCTCACAGATCACCGGCTGCATTTAGTTTCTCTTCTTTGATTGTGTCTTTTTTGTTTACTTTGTCTTTCGTGACACTGGACTTTCTCACTTTCGAGGGCAGTTGTGAATCAGAGCCTCCTCTATTCCCAAGACGGTTTAGGGGTGGTGTTCAGTTACAGATTTATTATTTTGGCGGCGCTGGGGTTTGAACTCAGGGCCTCACACTTGCTAGGCAGGTGCAGCACCACTGTGACCCTTACAACAGCTGCTCTGTTTTCCTCGCTGAGCTGTGGGGGAGGGGGTGTCCATTCCTACTGTTGACCTTGGCAGATCAACATCATGCAGAGTTAGAGGGTGCAGGACGTCCTGCTCCTCGACCCCTGCTGGCTCTGCACCAACCTCCTGGGCAAGCTGCTGTCGGTGGAGACGCCCCAGGCCCTGAACCATTACCAGGGCCACTACACCACCGAGGACATCCAGCACCTGGTGCCCAGCAGCAACGTGGAGGAGCTGCTGCAGATCCTAGACACCATGGACATCTGTGCCTGGGACCTGAGCAGCGGCACCATGGTGGACGTCCCTGCCCTGATCAAGTGGGACAACCTGTAGGGCTCCTGGACAGACGAGGAGGAGGAGGTGATGGTGTATGGTGGCCTGTGGATCGTGCCAGTGGAGCACCTCACCCCCTTCCCATGTGGCATCTTCCACAAGGTGCAGGTGAACTTGTGCGGCTGGGTCCACCAGCAGGGCACCGAGGGTGACACGGACATCCGGCTGTGGGTGAGTGGCTGCAGGGTGGCCAACCGGGGATCCGAGCTGCTGGTGCTGCTGGTCAACCACGTCCAGGGCATCAAGGTGCAGGTGCCGGGCCTGGACACGGAGAGGATCAAGTGCTGTCTGCTGGTAGACTCGGTGTGCAGCACCATCGAGAACGTCATGGCCACCACCTTGCCCAGGCTGCTGACTGTCAAGCACTACCTGAGCCCCCAGCAGCTGCGGGAACACCACAAGCCCGTCATGGTCCACCAGCCCCGGGACTTCTTCCGGGCACAGACGCTGCGGGAGAGCTCGCTCACCAATACCATGGTGGGGTACAAGGAGAGCTTCAGCAGCATCACGTGCTTCGGGTGCCATGACATCTACACCCAGGGAAGCCTTGGCACGGACATCCACGCGTCCGATCTCAACCTCCTGACCCGGCGGAAGCTGAGTCGCCTGCTGGACCTGCCCGACCCCATGGGGAAGGACTGGTGTCTTCTGGCAATGAACCTGGGCCTCCCACAGCTGGTGGCCAAGTACAACAGTGGCCCCGACAGTGGCAGCGCCAGGGACTTCCTGCCCAGCCCCGTGCACGTCCTGCTGCGGGAGTGGACCTCCCTCCCCGAGAGCACGGTGGGCACCCTCGTGTCCAAGCTGAGGGAGCTGGGTTACTGGGACGCGGCCGACTTCTGCTGAAAGCCTCGTCCGTGTTCAAAATCAGCCTGGACGCCCATGGCCAGGAAGCCTACGTGTCCAGCTGCAACAGCGGCACATCCTACAACTCCATTAGCTTGGTGGTGTCCCGGTGACCTCCTTCCCGGACACCGCTCCCCCGGGCCCAGTTCCCGCCATGCCAGCCCTGGCATGTGGGCGGCCACGCTGACCACGGGCACACCGCATCTGTCGCTTCGGCCACTTGAAAAGCTGGCGTTCCCGCTCTCCGTGTTTTGGACTTCCATCTCGCGTCCTCCAAACCTTGCTTCTTACTGATTGTTTTCCTGGGATTCAAAGTTTTCAATGAAGTTTTTTTTAAACCACTTTACTGATCGCCCTTAAGCAAAAAACAGGAAGTTTTCACACATTTATCCACAGCGTGTAATTTCTTACGCTCTCTTCTTTGTCAAATCAGCTCCTCAGCTTCTGTCTTTTATATTTGTAGGAGAAACTCGCTTGCTTGGATCCCACTGTGTGATTTATAAACTGACAATATGTGAGTGCCTTTTACAGAAGAGAGTGTGTTGAGATCATCTGAGTCAGCCTGGAGCTGTCACCAAGGAAATGCTACCTCTCTGTCCCTTGCTGTATGACGATCGCCACAGGTGATTCACCCTTTGTTTTCGTCTTTTTTTGTTTTGTTTCGTTTTGTTTTGTTTTGTTTGGGGGGGACAATGTCTGCATTTCTTTTGGCAAGGACAGGGGAGAAAGGACCCCACGGCCAGCGTCGTTGCTAGCCGCTGGCCGCAGATTGCGCTTGTGGACGCAGCCATGCGAGCGTGCACGGGAGTCCTGTAAACGGTTACGCTTGGTCCCCTCCTCTTCTCAGGTAGAAAGTTGTCACAGTTGTAGGGTTTTGGAGACCTGTGTAAGAAACGAGAAGACCCCCCCCCACCCTGGCTCATGACTCCAGGATCCGGAGCATAGCAGGGGTCTCCATGCGGTCACTTCTTGTGCTTGAAGTCAGAAGAAAGGACAAGGAGGGAGCAAGATCGCATTGCGCGGTGATTTGAAACTGTGAAGGAAATCAGTACGAGGGAGCGTGAGAAGCACGTAGTGTGATGTTATGTCGTCGGTGTGTGTGTGTGTGTGTGCGCGCGCTCCGTGTGTACACATACATAAATACTGGTATTTTTACTTAATCTATAAGATGTCAGAAAAGAATTAAGTTTGGGCTTTATATATATAATATATATTTTATATATATATAATATATATTTTATATATATATATATATATATATTTTATATATATATATATATATATATATACTGTCGCTTATTGCATTGGATTCTTTGGTCCTTAATTCAAAAAGAGTTCTCTTTCTTTCTTGGGTTTTCACTACCACATCCCACACGGTGTGAAATCCAGGAGATCACTAAATAGTGCTTACCCCCGCGGATGGAAAACAGTGCCATTCACTTTCTGCAAAAACCAGGAGGGGCGGGGCGGTAAACAGAACCGAGGTGGTTTTCGTAGCTCTCCCCATTTTAAAGAAGAGTCCCTAGCTGGCCCAAAAGACCAAAAGTCGTATGTTCTCCCTCATATGTGGACATTAGATCAAGGGCAAACACAACAATGGGATTGGACTTTGAGCACATGATAAAAGCGAGAGTACACAAGGGAGGGGTGAGGATAGGTAAGACACCTAAAAAATTAGTTAGCATTTGTTGCCCTTAACACAGAGAAACTAAAGCAGATACCTTAAAAGCAACTGAGGCCAATAGGAGAAGGGGACCAGGACTAGAGAAAAGGTTAGATCAAGAAGAATTAACCTAGAAGGTAACACCCACGCACAGGAAATTAATGTGAGTCAACTCCCTGTATAGCTATCCTTATCTCAACCAGCAAAAACCCTTGTTCCTTCCTATTATTGCTGATACTCTCTCTTCAACAAAATTAGAGATAAGGGCAAAATAGTTTCTGCTGGGTATTGAGGGGGTGGGGGGGAGAGGGTGGAGTGGGTGGTAAGGGAGGGGGTGGGGGCAGGGGAGAGAAATGACCCAAGCCTTGTATGCACATATGAAATTAAAATAAATAAATAAGAAGAGTCCCCTTCCATTTTCCCTGGCTGAAGCAAACCGAATGTTGCCTGGCAACGGGCAGAAGGATGTTCCCTGGATTTTGCCAAGGTGCAGCGTTGTGCAGGAACCAAGAGCAAATCCCCGACATCCTTCCCACCCCCCTTTAAATAAAATGTACACGTGCACTTCAGTCACGGGTCAGATTCCAGAGTTGGCCTGCCTGGTGACAAAACCAATCTGGAGTAAAATGTCAAAAAAAAAAAAAAAAGCAGAGAAAAAAGACTGGAAGGAAAAAGGCTAAAAATGGTGGTAACTTTTCTCTGCGCTGCAGGACTTGGCCCAAACTGTCCACAGCAGACATGTCTTACTTTTATACTGAGAGAAATCATGAATAATTTAAAATTCCACATAGATTCACTTAGAAAGAATGACACTGCAATTGACGTTGTGGCCATCTCAAAGAGTGGCACCTCCCCTTGTCCACTTCCATGCTGAATGCTGGCCCAAGGCAAGCTAAGGCCTCTGACTGGGTCAGTCTGGGTCACATGGCCATCCCTATACCGTGATCGAGGACTCAGGTCTGTGACTGGCTGTCCCCCTGGGGAGGTGCAGTTTTTCTTAGAAAGCTGTTCAGGTAACAGAAAAACCAGGGTGGAGGACTCTCCTGCAGACAGATGGAAGAACTTGCAAGTCTTTCTACCTTTTCAGGGAAGTCCCAGGACAGGCACCTGCCCCTGGGATTCTGGGCCTCCCTGGCTCCTGAAATGTTGAAACCATACTCAGAAATCCCTGTAACCCAAACATCAAGAGATTAAGGATCTCTGAGCTCACTGCCTCCTCCTGGAACACGTATGGGACTTCAGTGCCAAAAACGCCGGTCAGGTTGAAAGGCTTTGACAGAGCCTCACTGTGTGGTGCATGGTGGCCATCCACCCTCTGCAGGAGGAAGACCCCAGGCTACAGTCCATCTCCTGTACAAATTCTTAGGGGCCAGAAAGAAAGGCCATTCACAGTTCCTTTCCTTTACAATTACTGTGACCTGCACTCTGGTGGTGTGCTCTTTGTTGTCTCTAGGCTGTGACTGCCCCCGGGGTACCAAGTCCAAACTGGACATCCCTGGGGTCTGAAGGGTGGGTCGAAGGATCCCAGAGTCTCTAAACCTTTAAGATGAAGGGCGAAAGGAAGCCCAGCTCCAGGTGGGGGCTCTGGTGTCTTTGTGGAAGGAGGTTTCCAATTACAACTGCAGATTTCACAGAAATCTGAATCTGTATTTGGCCTTGTGTCTTACTAAACCCTGAGGGAGAAAAGCCTCCACTGTGAGGCCTGGCTTGGCCCTGGCTCCACGAACAGCTTGACGGGCCAGCCAGGTGTAGGAACTGGAGGGCGGTCAGAGCTCAGAGCTCAGAAAGCCCCTCGTTAAAAGCAGGAAGACTCTTGGTTTTCCAAGATCAAATAGTTGTGGAGTTGGATGGCGATGATGGTCGTGCAAGAATGTGGATGTGTTTATTGCCACAGACCCAGAAAGTTACACCTAATTAAATTTGATCTTAATTACATTTTACTATGTTTTCAAAACAAAACAAAGAGGTAAAACTGTAACCTAAAACACGCAGGGTAATGTGCAAGACTACCTGTTGTGTTTAGAGCCATCCAGCAAAATACAGCCCCCCCCCAAAAAAAAGGAGGTACAGGAAAGTGGTAGATTGCTTGCTGAAAGGATTTAATACTCATTTTCTTTGGCTTCTTTCCTTTTTGTTTGCATTAATTTTCTTTTCACTTTTCATAAGACTCTAGACAAGCTAATAAAAAGATATAAATCACCAGCAGTGAAATTAAGAAAGTGACATCAATAATTATCCTATGGACATCAAAATGATCATAAGTGAATACTATGAATAACTGCACACAAATTCAATAAAGTACATGAAATGGCACAATTTCTTGAAAGATAAATCTGCCAAAATTCACACAAAAAGAAATAGACTATCTGAGTAGGAGTATATCTATCAAAAAATGGAATCAATAATTAATAACCTTCCAAAACAGAAATCACTTGGCCCAGGTGAGTTCTGGTTACTCCTAACAACCATTTAATGAAGAAATTATATTAACTCTGTACAGTATATTCCAGAATACAAAAGCAGAGGGATTACTTCCTAGCTCATTCTATTGGGTCAGCATTGATCTAATACAAATCAGACCAAAATATTAGAAGAAGAGAAAGTAACAACCCCATAAAAACTCAACAAATTCTTAGCAAATATCATTCAAGCCTAAATAATAACAATTATATGGTACAACCAGGGCAATTTTTCTCTAGTATAAAAGGCTGGTTTAACATTTGTAAATCAATTATTGTAATATATCATATCAGCAGTCTAAAGAAGAAAAATCACATGATCATACAAATAGATGCAGACACTCTCAGTGTACAAGCTTCCTCACCTGAAAAAATAAAACATGTAGAAGACACTAAAAGATAAGAATGAATGGTAAGAAACTCAAAGGTTTTCTGCTAAGATCAAAAACAAGGAAAAGAGTTCTCATCATTTTTTTCGACATCATACTGGAAGCCGGAGCTTATAAGATAAGGAAATTAAAAAGTATAAAGATTTGGAAAGGAGATATATGTTGACAGATAACAGGGATGTCAAGGAAAATCTGACAGAATCAGTAAGTAAACACCTCGCATGAATAACTGATTATAACAAAGTTCCAAGCTATAAAATTAATATGCAAAAATGAATGTCTTATATACCAGCAATGAGTAAGTGAAATATGAAATTGAAAACACGAAGCCAAAATTAAATACTCTAATAAGAATATAAAAGCTGCCTTTAGGTTGTATTTGAGGAAAACCATAAAACTGTGATTAATAAATCAGGAGACTAAATATGTGGGCATATATTTCATAATGTTTGGGTGAATAAGAAGATTCAATCATTATTAAGATGCCAGTTGTTTCCAGCTTGCTCTGTAGAGTCAATGCAATTCCAGCAAGTTAATTGCTGGATACAAACAACAACAACAGAAAAAATGGTTCTTAAAGTTTATAGAGACACAAAAAAGACCCAGAAGAGTCAAAACAACACTGGAAAAGAAGAAACTTACAAGATGGTAATACCAGACTTCAAGACTTCTTATAAAGCAACAGTAATCAAGACAGTGTATTTTTGAGAACAAGACAAGAAAATCAGTGGAACAGAAGACAGTCCCTTAGTAGATCCATCTGAGTGTATCTAACTGATTGTGAAGAAAGGAACAAGAGCAATACAGTACAACAGGGCAAAGATCCTTTCTGCAAATGATGCTGGATCACCCAAATAGTCATATTATCAAACAGAATCTCAGAAAGAAAATGGGAAGAAAATAAATATAATGATTGAAAACCACATTTGATGTAAAACATTTATCTATAGATTCGATGTTTCCCCTTAGCAAAACAAAAACAAATATATCTATTCCTAGACATATCATAGTTAAACTGTGAAAAAAGAATGTTAAAAGCAACAGAGAAAAATTCTACTTCATTATAAGAGGACAATAGTGAGATTACCAACTGACTTCCACTCGGGAACAATGCAAGGATGTTGGTGTGATGGTGTATACACAGCTAAAGAAAAAAAATTTTGAGAAAAGATTCCAAAGAAAAAATGAGGATATTCCAAAATAAACAAATTGAAAACATTTGCTGTTAGCTGTACTACCTTACAAGCAACACTAATGAAAGGCATTTGAATGGTAAGAAATGGTTAATTCTCTGATTTGAAAATAGTGGATCGATTAGGTAAAGGTGTGTGTATGTGTGCACAGTTCCCAAAACTTCTTTTGCAGCTTAAATTTGATTTTACAAGCAAAACTGCTAGAAACAAGCACAAATATCCCTTGAAGGTTTATTTTAATTTTTATGAATTTCAATTAATGTTTTTTGCTTAAGAACTTTCAGCTGAAGATAGTAAATTAAATACAAAAACAAGATTTTTATTAAAAATTCACAAAACTATAAGAGAAATTGCAGGTTGATGTCTGAGTTGACACAAGGCAAGAACATATCATGTGGGAATGTTGCAGTTGTACACAGAGCTCTTGAGCATAGAAAACCATGTGAAACAACAAAATTTCCAGAGACAAGTCAAAGTTACAAAATCTATGAAAGAGATGGTCTTCAGAGATCTCCAAGGAAGCAGCTAATGTCTGGGATCAATGGAGAAGTAACAGAAAATAAACTGAGGTTCGTCTCTAACAAAACCAGCAGGTAGAGTTGGAGGTAGGGAGGATGTGCTGGGCTGGAGGCTGGGGGAGGGGCTGTGGTACAGCTTCTTCTTCCCCTTCCCCCTCCCCCCTCTCAGCACCCCTTTGTGATGAGGGCACAGCTCTGTGATGCAGGCCTGGAACCTACAGCCTATTCCCCAAAAGAATTTCCAGAGCTCAGTTGCTCGAGAACAACAGTGCAATTCAGATGTTGGAGAATTTTCTCTTTTCTCTGAATAGCATTAGTGCCACATGGCTGATCCCCAGCTCCACCACTTGGGCAATGGACATGATCCTTGCCTTTGTGTGTGGACTAGGACTTTTCTTACTATTAATTCCTTACCTCCAGAGTAAGCCACCCTCACCACCAGTTGGGAAAAAGAAGAAACTGAGGAAGGTAAGAAACCTATAGGCCAGACCCAACAAATGATAGTTCTCTCTTTTTTTTCTACTATGTTCACTTTTCCAAATCAAATACAGACAATGTCAGAAGGGAAATCTCAGGACAGAACATCCCATTGACAGGTCAAGGCAGGGCTAGCGTGAGAATGCAGTCATCTACTTGAGCTCTCAGACCCATCTGTGTAGCATGATGCAGGTGCAAGAGTGAAGTCAATTACAAAGACTCAGTGGCCAAAGACTAGACCCCTGATAGTTAGGGAATCCTGAGGGAATATAGGCACCAAGCACTGGTTTATCTGTTCACTTCTCATGGAAGGAACCTGTGGGCCACACCAATCCTCCATGTTGGCCTGATTCAGAGGGCTGTGCTGAGTCCCTGAGAGACTCTCATCAGTGAATGATGAGTCAGAGAATGGTCTCATGAGTGAATGATGGTCTCATGAGTGAATGATGAAGTCAGAGAATGGTCTCTGACTTCAGGAAGATGACAACTGGCAGCTGAGAGGCACCTACAGGGCTGGGTCTGTTGCTCTGAGCAGCAAGACAGTGACTGAGTATATCCATGGTGGATCTCATGGAGAAATCCCATGTGTGTTTTCCAAGAAAGACAGAAAACATTTTTACCCATATTAAAAATAAGTAAAAGGAAAGGCAAGGATATGGAGTTCCCATAGGTAACTCCAGGACAGGGAATGTCTGCACCTTGCCTAGGGAGAGAAGAGAGAGAACGAGGCCATAGCCTTTTTATTCTCTTTCAGCATCAGGTAAAGTGGGCACAGAGCAAGAGGAAAAGGAAGACTGGTGGCCTAAAAGGTAGGCTCTGTGCTTCCTTCCTTGAGGGGACTTTATCTCACCTGTTGCTAGGATCTCATCCAAGTCTCCTAGGATGTCAGTTGCAGGGCCCTGAGACAGAGTGTCCTGGGAAGGAAATCAGATTATGGGATACTTCCCATGTCCTGTGAATACACAGCTGTGATGGTTCTGGGGATGGTTGTGACCAAGTAGAAGTTGGGTTGGGAGGCTTTGGAGCAATATTTCCTTGATTGAAGGTAGGACCTGCAGGTCTACGGATGGACAAACTCTTACTCCATTAAAGACTCATTCTTCTTTGAAATGACCCACCCTTTCTCCCTCACAGGGCTGTTATAGAGGTAATAGAGGGTGGATAGGTGAAAACACCCTATCAATGATGAAATGAGTTCACTCTATGTTTGTTACTAGCACTCTCACCAGTCACATGGCCTTGGACACTGAGGCTTGAGCTGCAGAGTTTAATATCCAGTGGTCTCTACCAAGGGGACATTTCATTCAGCCTTCTATAGGATCCCAGGCCTTCTGTTCCCCACCATAATAATTCTGTCTCCATTTCCAGTTTGCAGACATTGGAGGAAAGATGTGCACAAGATTCAGGACCTGGTTTCACTTCTGCACAGGTGAGGACTTTCCTCTTCTCCTTACCCTCATTCCTACCTCATGGAATGGAGTGGTAATGGGGTCGGATGGTACTCAGATTTGGGGGGGATATGATAAAAGCTCTGGGTTGTAGGATAGCAAGAGCTCTGTAAAACTCAGGATGGTGGGGCAGTGGAAGGGGCATGGAGTACAGGTGCCCATCCTATCCACTCTGCCCGGTCTTCTGGCCCATCTCCTGCTGACTTCAGGTTGTACCACCTGTTTCCTGCAGCCATCTAGGGAAGCTCCATGGGAACAGCAGCTTTCAACTGCCATTAAGAGGAAGTGCCCTGGGTGAAATACTCATACATGAGTCTGCTAGAATCCACCAGCCACCTGGACAGCCTATGGAGGATGGCTTTGTCACTACCTTGTCCCCTTTGGCTTCTCCAGCTCCTCTGACTGAGTGTCTACTGCCTCTGGCCTCTACCTTGTCAACAGTTGCACTGACTCCCCCAGTGTCTTTTGGATCACACTCATTCCAGAGTGCCACTAGGTCACCAGAGACTTTGATTCCTCTAGGAAGACTTTCACCCCAGCCACCTGCACATCCCCCACACCCATCTCATTCTAATGGACACATTACCTGCCCTCTGTCCATGTCAGATCCAAGCCTGGCTCTTCCTCCGGGTGCCTCAAAGGAAATCCCACTGACGACCATCCCAGAAACCTCCTCTCCATCCAACAGCTCTTGGTTGCCTTCTCCTATTCCTGACATCTCTGGCCCTGGTCACTCTAGCTGTCCTATCTCAGCACCCTCCTGGTGGCAGGTGGCTGCCAGAACCTGGTGCTTCTCCAATTCATCACATGGTGAATCCCAAGGAGTCCATCTTTCCCACCACCCACCAGAGGACTCATTCAGGCAGATAGAGGTTGGGGGTCCCTTTTTCATTAATCCTGATGTCCAGAAGCTGCTGGAGATAATGATAAGTAAGAGAGCCAAACTTAAAGTTTGTAAGGGAAGAGGAAAGGAGGGATCAGACGAACTACTGGAGTCACTGGGTAATACATTAAAGACACTGGGCAGCAAGCAGGACGCTATGACCCCCCAACCCTTCTGGAACACAAATGGCAAACCAGAGCAGCTTCTTGGTTCTCAGCAGCTCTTTTACCCCAATCTGTTAGAGAACCATTTACAGCAGAAATGTAGCCAGCTTTTCTGGGGCTTGCCCTTTCTACACAGTGAGTCCCTGGTAGCTACCATGTCTGGTCCCCCACTAGAATTTCCCTCCATTTTATTCAATGGACTCTCTAATTACATTCCATTACAAGTTCAGGGTAATGGACCTCCACGACTGTTTTCCCCCCAGCCCTTACTCCACCACTTGGTCCAGCCTCAACATTTGACTCCAGTCTTACCCTGGTCCCAGCCTCCATCAGTAGCTGGGAGCCATACCCAGACTCATCTCCCATCCTCTCTCTCAATCCCACCATACCACTCACTCCCAGTGAGAGCCTATGGAGTTTCTTGCTCTATAATCCAGGATGGGACCCAATTTCCTATTCCAACTACTGTTCAACATCTAGAACGTCACTTTTTGAAGAAGCGTCTAGAAAGTAAGAGGGTTTTACCCTCTGTGGTCAAAAAATCTCAGGATGTCTTTAGCCAATACACTCCCAAAAATTGGGCTTCCCAGGACCAGGGGTCCACTGTAAACCTCCCAGGGGATTTTATCAACCCAGAGCTCCGAGACCATTTAGAGCAACACCTTCGACAGAGGTTCACACAACACCGGTACAGACTACCATGCAAGATCCAGCTGTCTCTGGACTTGATGGATTCTAGGGGCAAATTCCCAGGGGCAGGCCAGACAAAGAATATCAAGGAGACTTCACAAACCTCCATGTTTGCAAATGACAGCAGTCAGAATATACAGAAGACTATCTCAAGGGGCCCAGAAACTCTCCAGAGATGGGAGAACTCCAGCAAGGACCTGGGTCATTGTCTGGGAAGGGTAACAAAAGGTCTATACAGGGATCCAGAAAACTCCCCAGTGAGGGTTCTAGAAACCATCTCTGAGATAGAGTCAGAAAGGGACTTTATGAGACTCACGAGAAGTGACTCAGGTAATGCTTCCTTGATGGGTCCAGACAAGAAGCATTTAGAGGACCTCTTACATGTCCATTTAAACCCAAAGATGGGGCAGATCAATATGGGCAGGATCCCTGTGGGTGTTTATCATTCTGGGCACACTATGGACCATGCCTTGGCCCCTTCTGAAAACTCAAACATTGACATGGGAACTGGGAATGAACTGTCCTCAAAGGTTTGGGAGACCTGCAGAAGCCCATCCCAGAAGCTTTTTCTTCTTCACCCTGACATTGAACAGGTGCTGGAGGCACATGTTAAAAGGCTTTGGGTGAGACACAGGTGGGGCCTACTACTCAAGGTCCTCAACTCCATAAACCTCCTCACCCTTAAGAAGGCTCCAGCCTTGCCCCCTCCACAGCCTGCCTCTCCCTACTTAACCTCCTGTGACTCCAGGGCAGACTCCATGGCCAAGGTGTCCAATTTCCTAGGAGACACTCTTGAAAAAAGTCCAGAAGAAGAGGTGACAGGAAAAACTGAAATTACAACCATGCAGAGTCCTTTTCCTGCCTCCTCACTCAAGTCCCCGAAAGAGACATCATCTAGTGACAACTGTGAACTCTCTGAGACCCCTGTAATTGCACAGGAAGGGAGCCTTCTTTCTCAACCCAGAACTTGCAGCCTTGTGGGAAGAACCTGGCACATTGATACTGTTCTGAGGTCTGGGAGAGGCAGTCCCAAACCAAGTCTGGGCCCAGTAACAGGTATGCATGAGCCGCAGGTGAGAGGAAGCGTGCTCTCTCGAGACTCCTTCCATGGTGTATCCATACAGGAGAGGTCTGTAGAACCCAACTTGTCAAGGCCAGAAAACATCAGGGAGCTAGTGGAGGACAATGAGGAGCCGTCCTCTGATTGGGAAGTCACATTGGGGACCAGTGTGATGGCAAGCTCCCAATCCAATAGTGTGAATATGAGAAGTTTGGAATTTCTGGGGAGCAGCAAAAGCCCATCCTTGTCCAGAATATCTAATTCCCATAATCCATTAGACTCGTGCCTGAAAGAACAGGCAGGGTCAGCCAACACACCACATGGCCAAGCTGCTGCTGGTGTCCTGCAGGACTGTGCCACTAGCACGTACCTGCAAAACTCTGCTCCTGAGGTGCTCCTTACTGCAGACATCCTGGCTTCCCAGGGACCTCAGTCAAGTTCACAGAACATTTCTGGTAGCAGCACACACATTTCCCAGGGGCTGTGCCCTCCCTTGTCAATGAGAAGTTACAACCGGGAACAACAGGAGATCAAGACCTGCAAGTTCCAAGACCTATGGTATAACAAGTTGTTTTGTTCACTTGAGAAGAAAGAGAGCTGTTGGAATCCCATAGCAGGAGAGCAGGAAGACAAGCTTGCAGGGATGAAGCTCTTCCAAGCCTCAGGGATGAATTCTGCTGACCAGGTTAGGGAAATAAGTGCCGTTGGGAGCAATTCCTCCCCATGCCCACCAGAGCAGGGACAGGATTCTACAGAAAGGCATTTCATGAACAAGATAAGGACATTTCTGAAGTCAGTCTTCCCCAATAAAGGCAAAGAGCAGGCAAAATCCATGAAAAATATCAAGGACCCATCAGCTGCTCCCAAGACCCAAGGGTCAGTCACAAGCAAACACATGGATAGTGGCGTGGGTGAAGCCCAAACGCTCATGACCACTATTGGATTGATATTAGAGGAGAAAATGAGGTTACACCATAAATTTTCTGGCTCCAGGAAAAATCTGCCCAAACAAGAATCCCAGACTCCTTTGGGTAGGCATTCCCACTATCACAGGACTCCTTCCTTCCCTAAGCCAAGCAGAGTGATGAGTAGGGCCTGTGATCCCCAAGCTAGCCCCAAAGGTAATAGCAATTCTATCAGCAATAGGTGGATCAGTCCCTGCCAACATAGGCCAATGGGGGTAGTTGCTTCAGGTTACCATGTCCACTGTCCCAGGCATTGTCTTCTTTGGAGAGGGGTGTTGTATGATCACCCACACCATTCACCTCACATAAATGTTGGTAGGAAATCTTTTCCCCAAGAAAATATTCAGTCCACACAGAGCAAAACTGTTTTTTCTCATATGTGTGCATCTGCTGTGTAATAATGGCATCTGCCTATCCAGATGTCTATTGCTTTCTAATAAATGTTTTTGTCTCATCAGAGGTACTGGCTTTTGTCTGCACTATGCTGGGCATAGGGAAAGGTCAGCAACTGGTCTACCTCAGAGAGGTTCTAGAAGGAATGTTCACATACAGAAGGGACAGTGGTACTGAGGACTCACCCTCACCCCAAATTCCCTTATTGCACTTTAAGTGTCCATCATTTGGTAACTATAGAAACATACTATATATAGAAAGCCTTTAGGATTTTTTGGCATGAGCCAACTCAGGAAGACCCCACTCCAGGATTTGGGTCAACCTATCTTTTGCCCCAGTTTTCCTCTATGTCTACCTTGAACTTGTGCAGCTGCATGTGCAGGTGCACAGAGGTACCAGAGGGCCACATAGCTTCACCTATCACAAAGGGTAAGGGAATGTTGAAGGTGTAGTATGGTGGTCCTGAGTTCAGAGGTGGGGGAATCTTGCCTTTTGGATTCCTAAGGAATAGAAGATAACTGACTGCTCCAGGAGCCTCTGCTGTCCCTGATGGAGACTAGGATGGCTGCTCAGTACTGTGTTGTCCCAGACCATGGTCACCTGCTTTCTCTTCTGGGCACAACCTATCAGTAGTGGGACATGATGGGGTATAGAAAACAATTGAAAGAGAACCAAATGGTCGCACCTGTTCTCCTAGCCTGGAGTGATAAGACCACATGGACTGAGCCACTCATTCTGATCCCTCACCAGGGCTCTCTGCTCTGGGCCACAGGCCTCAGGAAGCCCCTTTACTTTCAACACAGACTGGAAAGGAAACAGAGACTTGAAACAGGGAAGATTAATTTCTTAACAGTTATTTTAAGAAGTTTGTTTGATGTCACCTCTTGAATTCCAGAAAGGTGTTGACAATTGGTTGAAAAGTGGGGTCCAGTAAATTCTGGCTGTGATTCACAGGCTGGTGACCTTTATACATTCACATGGCCCCAGCACTCTTCCCAGGGGAAAGGTTGGATAATAAATTGGACCAATTGGCTGACCTGGGGTTGCACAGCACATCTGTCCTTGCCCCTAGCCCTCATTTACCTTAGAGACTAAGCTGGGAAAGAGGCATTAGAGTGGAAAGTGACTTATCTAAAATGCCTGAGCTTCCAACATTGGTGGTAAGACAGGAATGGCACTGCTTCCAGCTTAGTTTCCTCATCAGGTGACCTGTCTATGTGGGAAACAGGAGGGGCCAATGCAGGGAAAGTAGCAGCCAATCCTCCAAAGCATACCATGCTATGTCCCATGAGAGGCAGACAGGGTCATCATTCTAGAGGCTTCATTTTTCCCAGTGGAAGGCCCTGTGCCAGGAACCACTACTGACACAAATGAAACTGGCATAGCCCTGCCCCCATGCCTGCTTCAGACAGGGAGAAAGAGACAATGGGCCAAGACTCAGCCTACTTTCTCCCCAGCTATGAAACCCACTCCAATCCAGTTGGGCCTATAAGAGGCTATCCTACTGTCATTTCTTGAGGGTTAAAGGATCTGGAGTTGGTGGGCAAATACAAGGTCCAGGCTAAGATGGATAAGAGGGTGGCTTTGCGGGCTTGGCACTGGGTATCAGTGTCGGGGCAGATTCCTCAGATCCCTGCTGTGGGGAGAGGTTTATTTGGTCTCATTGAGCATTTCCCCCTCTCGTTCTCCCCACAGAGTTCCTGGTTTTTACAGGAGATTTGATGCACCCTTGCATCTTGTGTAGTTAACACAGTGTTATCCTTTTCACTATTGTCACTCCACATTTACTTCTTTCTGTTTCTTATATATATATAGATACTGATGCCCCAGAGATGCATCCTCACAGCTCTGCCATGGACAGTTTGCCTCAGCAGAATGTCTGAGCATCCCTATCACTGCTTCCTCCTTGATTTCCCCACCATTCTCCAGAGTCTTTCCCTGCTTGTCCAGTGGGATGATAATCTGGTGAAGGGTTCTGTTGACTCAGCACTAAGGCAGAGCCACTGGCCCCAGGAGCAGAGGCCTCGGCCAGAGACTCTATCTTGGTGGCCTGGAATATCAGTACAACATGCTGAAATTAAACAACTACCAGCAATTTAGACTCTATTAAATTTTTTTCCTGTTTTGTTACCCATTTGAAGTATTCTCTGAGAAGAATTCCAAGTCACAACTGCTACAAGTGTTGATCTTCAAAGCAAAGGAATCATTAGAAAGGTCTTGGGCAATGGAGATTATTTGTGAGATGCATTAACCAGAGAGATACTTTAAAACATCAGTCAAGCCACTCTTCTGGTTCTGAGTCCACTTAGCCAGTGGCTGAAATTCCATATCACAGGTGTGCCTTTGTCTTTTGTTTCTGATTTTTTTTTTGAAACAGTATCTGGCTATGTAGTCCAGGCTGGCCTTGAACTTGTCATCCTCCTGCTTTAGCCACCTGAGTTCTGGGATAACAGGTGTGCACTACCACATCTACTTGCAGATGAATCTTTTGGTTTTTAGCAATTGAAACTATAGCAACTTTTAAAATCTACAACTAACAATTGTGAACATTCAAGGTGTGCACACTGTCTGAATTTTTTGGTACCAGAAACAAATACTGGAACCATGTCGGTTTCTTCTTCATCACTTCTACTACAAAGGAAAGTAAAGCCCATCTCTATGGAATTGTGAATAATTATTATGAGATTGAGACAATCAGTTGAGAATTAACTTGGATCATTAACAAAACACATATCTTCTATCTGGCAGCCTATAAAATGATAAATAACATAAATGTTGATGATATTAATTAAAATAACAAGTAAATTTCTATCTTACTGAAGTGTGTTGATAACCAAGAGATAAATTCTGATGCCTTCACTTTTTTTACATGTTTTTATTAGTATATGATAGTTTAACAGAGGGTTTTGTTGTGATACTTCCACATATATGTATAGTACCCCATTTTGGTTCATGTCCTCAAATATTCCTTTTCTGCCACTCCCCTTCTTAAAATGACTGACAAATTTCAGTTCTCCATATTCATACATGTATACAAAGTATCTCTACAATATTCACCCTCCTTTAATTCATCCTTCCACTCATATTCTTAGCCTCTCTGTAACATGACCTGTTTTACATTCCTGTTCTGTTCATTTTTCAGTGTGGTTTTGCCTTGGTATTTTACCTGCAAATATATTATACTTTAGTCAGCTTAATATCATCCTTTCCACCCTACCCTGTATTGGTCTTCTCCCTCTCTATATATATCATATGTATATATACAGACATTATTGTATATATGTAGTATATATACAATATTTATATGATATATGTATGTGATATATGACATATGATATATATAAAATAAAGTTTGTATTTATATTTGGATCTATCTTCCACATATAAGAGAAAACATGCAGCCCTTGTTTATCTGAACCTGGCTTACTTCACTTAACTTGATGTTCTCTAGGTCCATCCATTTACCTGCAAATAGAAAATTTCATTCTTCTTTATGGATGAATAAATATTCCATTATATATACATACCACATTTTTTAATCCTTTCATCAGTTGTATGGCATCTGGGCTTTTTCCTTAAGTTAGCTATTGTGAATAATGCTGCAAAAACCGTAAGTGTCAAACATCTTTACTATACCCTGACTTACATTCCTTCAGATAGATGTTTAGAAGTGGTAATGCTGGATCATATGGCAGCTCTATTTTTAGCTTTTTGAGGATCTTCCATACTGCTTTCCATAGTGGTTGTACTAATTTACATTACCACCACCACCAGTTAAGGGTTCCTTTCCCCTTACATCTTTGCAAACATTAGTTGTTGTTTGTGTTCTTGATGATAGCTACTCTAATAGAAGTAAGGTGGAATCTTAATGCGGTTTTTGTTAATGCTTCTTTAAGGCCAGGGATGTTGAAAATTTCTTCATGCTTTTGGGCCATTTTTACTTCTTCCTTTGAGAAGTTTCTGTTTGATTCATTTATGCATTTCTTCATGGCTTATTAATTCTTTGGAAGTTTTGTTTTTTTGAGCTTCCTTTAATTGTGGTTATTAATCTCTTGTCAGATGTATAGTTGACAAAGATTTCCCCTCATTCTATGAGCTGCTGCCTTTTCAGTCTGGTGACTGTATTCTTTGTGGTGAAGAATATTTTTAGTTTCATTCAATACCATTTGTCAATTCTTTCTTTTACTTGCTCTGCCATTGATGTACTATTTAGGAAGTTCTTGCTTATTCCTATATGTTCCAGCACTTTCTCTATTCTTTCCTGGAATAGTTTCAAAGTTTCTTTCATTACATTAATGTCTTGAACCACTTTGAATTGATATTAGTACAGGGTGAAAGGCAGAGTTCTTGTTTCGGTCCTCTACAGGAAGATATCTAGGTTTCCCAGCACCATTTGTTGAAGAGGCTATCTTTTCTCCATCATGTGTTTTGGGTTCCTTTGTCAAAACTCAGGTGACTATAGCTGCATGGATTTATGTCTAGGTCCTCTAATCTGTTCCAGTAGTCTTCATGTCTCTTTTTGTTTGAGTACCATGCTGTTTTTATTGCTATGGCTGTATGGTATCATTTGGGTATTGTGATACCTTCAGCATTGCTCTTTTTGCACAGTATGGCCTTGTTTATTCCAGGTCTTCTGTGCTTCCACATGAACTTTATGGTTGATTTTTCAATCTCTGTGGGGAATGCCATTGGAATTTTGATGAGGATTTCATTGAACATATATATTGCTTTTGGTACTATAGCTATTTTCATTATACTAATACTGCCTATCCATGAATATGGGAGATATTTCCATCTTCTGATGCTTTCTTCAATTACTTTCTTTGGTGGTATATAGGTTTCAATGTAGAGGTCTTTCACTTCCCTTGGTCAGTTTATTCCTATATATTTTTAAAAGATATTGCAAATGGTGTCATTTTCCTAAATTCTTTCTCAGTGTGTTCATTGTCAGTATGTAGAAAAGAAACTGATTGTTGATTTTGTATCCTGCTATTTTTCTGAAAGTGTTTATGAAGTCTAGGAGGTTTTTGGTATAGTTTCTAAGGTCCATTAGGTATAAGATTATGGCATCTTTAAATAGGAAAAACTTGACTTCTTCCTTTTCTATTTGAATTCCTTTTATTTCCTCTTCCTTTCTTATTGATTTGCCTAAGAATGTCAAAGCTATGTTGAAAAAGAGTGGAGATAGTGGATACCCTTGTTTCATTCTTGACTTCAGTGGAAATGGCTTCGGGTCTTTCCCCAGTGAGTCTGATGTTGGCTATAGTTTTGTCTATACTTGTGCATCTATTAAGTTAGATACATTTCTTCTACTCCTAGTTTCATCAAAGGTTTTATCAAGATAGGATGTTGAACTTTGTCAAATTCTTTTTCTAAATCTATTATCAGGGACTTCAGAAGGATAGAAAGGATGGGAGTAATATAAGAAGGTGATAGAATAAATCAAGAGTTGAGTGGTTTAATGGAAGAAATAGAGAAAGTAGGAAAATGGAGGAGAGGAAAGAAGTAAATTTTTAAAGAGTGGGGAAGAATTTAAAAGAAAAAATTTTTGGAATAAAAGAAGGATAGACAAATTAAATCTTTAACAAAAAGGAAAAAATTTGAAGTCTTAATTTCGTCCTTCTTGCAGAGGAGAGCAAGTTTATTCTGTGTTCAATCGGTACACTGGATATTCCCCTCCAATTTCTGGTCCTTAGAATTTTGTCTGCAGTTCTCTGGCTGTATTTACTCACATGTTCCCTTGGGGACCTGAACTGCACAAATATTACCTGGTGAAGAAGGTGGACTCTGAATTATGGAAACTGCTAGAATGAAGGGGTGCTACTCTAGCTATGAGAGGTAGCCAATTTTTGTTAGCTGTGGATTCTTAGAGCATACATACTAAGTTAGAAAGCACTTTTCTGATTTCTCAGTGTCTTCCCTCTTTTCTGTTAAGGTATTGCAATGGTTTGTTTTTGGTTAGAGACTTGAATGTGTTCTAGTGGCTTGCCCACTATCTCCTGGCTCCACCGATGGACAAGGAAGTAACTGCACTCAGCAGTAAGCTGTGCCCTTCCCCTGTCAAGCAAGTCTGCAGAATTGTTCCAGCTGGGCTGGTGTGGATGCATTCTCTTAGACCCCTGCCTTTCCTATGGATAAGAGATGAGCTGGAGTTGGCAGCGAGACTGTGACCTTCCTCCCACCAGGCAGGTCAGCAGGTGCATTCCTGTTAGGCTGTTGTGGGCCTGTTCTCTCTATCCCTGTGACCAAAACCTGTTTAATGGTGGTGGGGGGAGCCAGGCCAGAGAGCTGAGCTGACCCCTGTGGTAGCCCTCAGGGACTGAGAGCAACAACTATCTCACTTGAATGGTTTGCAGGTTCATCTGTCTGGTATGGACAGGAGTGCAGAGTTAAGGTCAGCGAATGTCTTCTGTCTATGTAACCCAGCTATTGACCTGTTCTAGACTTTTAGCCCTGAATGCTCATGTTGATACTCCTTGTGATCTTCATGGATTAGAGGCAGCTCAAGTCTGAACAGAAGCGAGAGAAAAGAAGAAAAAAAGAAAAGGAAAAATCCTGGCAGTAGCAGTGGTGTGGGGTGGAGTCAGTCAGTACCAAGAACCTTGTGCCTGCTGTGGTGAATTTGTGCTTTTAAAGCCTTATTTGGAGGTTTGCATCTCTAGCTATGGTCTGCTTTATGTTGGCTCCCTCATTAGTAGGAAACTAATCCAAAAAACAACCCTAGAAGCTATGAACCTGAGTATTTCTTTCAGGTTTGTGGAGGTTCCAGGTTGTGGCAACTATCACCATCTTTCCCAACCTTCATGCCTTTATCTTGCTAACCTTATAAAAGCTCATGAATAAAATGAAAATGAGAAAAATGTAAGTAATCTCAATGTATTCT